GGGGGGGAATTACATTCACTCTTACCTGGCAGTCGTCCCCTTTGGTGCGCACCTCCCCGTTCATGTACTGCTTTTCCAGCGAGGCCGAGATACCGAAGCTGTTGCCCATGCACAACATCTCCGCCCTGCCCTCGGGGCGACCGATCTCCACCGCCCCGTTCAGGATGACGTACCACAGGTCCAGCTTCAAGGTGGAGGGGAAACACGGATGACATCATCGTCCATGTAACGGCGGCGAGCTGCCATTTCGGTTCTGACCTCCTGCTTGTCGTGCAGAATGACGGTGCCGGCCTGCTCGACCACCTCGAACACCATCACGCTGCACAGCTCCCGACGCACCGACATGGTCATGTTGGCGAAGGCTGGCAGCTGGTGCATAAACTCGAGCAGTTGCTCTGGGTGGACAGAACGACAAATGTGCGACATTAGAGTTGTCCGGAACGTGAAATATGTAAATATGGTACATTCAAGTTGCATTAAATACGATTGAAATATGATGTAGAGTTGTTTTGAGATCACATCATTTTATTGGTCGCATTGACTGACCGATGTCGTCGTCGTTGCGGTCGGCCGGGTCTTTTTCCAGACACTCGCGCACAAGGTCTCGGCCCAGCAGCGCATCCGAGGCTCTCTCCAGGTCCTCATCCTCCTCTTCCTCCTCCTCGCTGTCCACGGGAGCCTCGGGAAGGCCGGACAGGTCCACGTCGCCCGGTTCGCTCTCTGTGGCCTGGGGGAGGACGATTTCCAGATCCAATGCTTGTGAATAAATAAACTCTCCTTGTACTTTTTCTGGTATTTTTTTTTCTTTCTTCAAATGGGATTGAATTCTGCCTAGCGACAAGCGACCACAAGTACTTCACACCCCTTTTCTTCGGGACAGCGCCTTACCGGATGGCGCTGTGGAGAGGGGAAAAAAAGTGTTTGCTTCTGCTCTTTCTGTCGCATCTCCTTGTCCGTTTTCTGCCGCGTTAATGCCAGCAAATGAAAAGGCAAACTAACGGCTAAGAAAACCTCCCTGGTGGAGGTAACAACCACTATTAGGAGGCCATTAACACCGCTTACGTCCCTCGGCGGGGCTTCCGCATTGATTGCGGCATCTCATTAGCTGCAAAGTTTTCAGCAAGATAAAATGCCACAGAGATTAAAAATATCTATGGGATTAAATTTGGCGAATAAAGGTGTTCTGAAGGGATTTGAATGATTCAAGACATGTTTTGTTTTTCCGTATGATTGATTTGGATTAGCCGTGACAATGACAACGCTCAGGAGGAGCTGGAGAACACTCCATGGAGAGGCGTGGACTCGGTTTGGAGAAGGTCAGGGCTATTTCCTGCGTCAGACCTTTGAGCCACCGCAGGAAGTAGCCTGTGACGAGCGAATAATTAGCCTGAGGGAGGATTACATGGGCGAGGGGAGGTAAGCGGCGCCCGCGCTCGATCGATAAAAATTATTCAATATGATGGCGCGTTAAGAGTTGTATGGCGCGATAAATATGATGCATTGCACATTCCAGTTGGAGAGAAGATTCAATATGATCTACTTGTACATTAGCGTGGCATGGAAGACAAAATATGGTCTCAATATGAGAGACTACAGTTGTATACAGCGCATTAAATCTGATGTGTGCCACGTCTCAGTCATATGGAAATGTTAAGATGTAAATGTGGTATACTAGACTTGTATGGAACATTAAATATGTGATAGGATGTCGCTATATTAAGAGCGATGCAGACAATCAATATGATAAGTTTCCATTCATCTGGCGCCGCCGCCGGACTATCCCCCACCTGGTAGATGTCCGACAGGCTGCTGCTGCCCGAGTCGCTGGCGATGCTGCAGCCCGACTGGCTGGCGGGCACGTGCATCACCTGCTGGTGGGCGTGGTCCGTCAAATGCATCTTATTGAGGTCGGCAGGAAGCTGCGCAGACACACAGGAAGGAAAGGAAGCAGGCGGTGTGAGATGATGATCAGGTGTTGCAAGTTATGGTTTTTTTGTTTTTTTAAAATGTACCATAAAAATAAGACGTAAACCACAATCAGAAGAGAGTGCGCACACTTTATCGAGCAGCGAGATAACACGTTTCACTGTAAACGACGAGACCGCGTACGCCGCAGTCTGCTCTGTGCAAGCTCTCCTTTGCAGTGGTCGTTTCTGCACTGACTCGGCACACCGAGAGCTGTTCCTAATGTGTGTGTGTGTCCCTTGTGGCGTAAGAAATGAGGCGGTCAAAATGTTAAAAAGACTTCCTCGTCCTCCACATTCATACGGAGCAACTGCTGCTCCTTAAAGGGCGAGCACATACTGGATACACACACAAGGGCGGAATTAGGCATGCAATTATTTATTTATTTTTGTCCAGTAATTCAGCCCTCCTTTTAAAAAAAAAAATCGCTGTGATTGGTTAGCTAAAATGTATTGATATATTTTTGTTATTGGTTCATCTAATTAAATAATTTCCCACTCTAATTGTTGATTAAAAAAAAAGAGTAATTGTTTTCTTAATAGCTATTAATTAAGAAACAATACAATATAGAAAATGAATGATTTTATTGAAATAATTGTAAATAAAATGATGAGCTATAACAAAAAAAAAATGTAAGTACCCGTGATTGTTGATTTCAATAGAAAATGGGTTCATTCATTGCAATACAATACAACGCAATGTAAAAAACTGTGCCCGCATTATTTTTCACCGACGTGCAAAACGCAACAACATTTGTAAAAGAAACAATTTTACAAAGAATTCAATTTCAGAACAAGCACGGATGACTATTTTCTTGCTCAATTGAAATTGATTTGACATTTACCTTTCACCCTCATCTCCAAACGACCGAGCCCATCTGTCGCGCTTTCGAGACCAACTAAGCCCAAAAAAATGTGCCCAGCCTTGGATTCGGGAATCCACTCCGTTAAGTGACATCTTACCAATTTGGATCGCGGTAGCGCCAAGGTGAGCGAGGCCGTCCTCCGGCGACACCGCGCCAACCCGCACCAAGCGTCCTCCATCCACAAGCCACCCAAACGCCCGCGACATCCAACAACAAGCCGAGATGGAACAGGGTGGGGAAACCACTGTGCCACTATGAAATATTAACCACTTGGTGCCCCCCCACCCCCAACCCACACCCTTCCTTCAGTGCTCCCCTCTAACTGTTGTACGGGACCCCTGACCCCATATGCGGGGATTAAGTGCACCCTTTAATTGTACCTTTGGCTGAGGCAAAAAAATAAAACACACAGTCATGGTTTACATTTGGGTTGTTTTTGAAAATGGAAGTGAGCCCCGTGGGTGCCTTCCGACTCCATTTCGCACCCCTGACTTAATCCCCACGCACACGGTTACACTTTCTTTCTCCCCTGGGGGAATGTTGGCAGGTGGCTGTGTGGGGGCGGGGGTCTCCATATTCTCCTCATGCATTAAGGATGAGAGTCGGTAGATGAAATATAAATGTGTCAGCTTCCCTCAGCTGTACAATTACATCAAGTCAACATGGGAGGATGGAAGGACGCGTGGGGGGGGTGGGGGGGTGGAACGCGACGCCGTCAATCCCAGAAAACAACACTGTATGCGCTTATGACGTGTATGTAAGTTTGTTTACGTCGATGGCAATAAATTACAAGTAGGAATGACAGACCCGAAGCGTCAATCAAAAAAACTGGATTCATCCGGAAGTCAACAATCACTCATAACATGCCTGGGCTATGTAAGATTCAGGTTGAAGGAATTTGTGACAGCTGTTTCCGTCGATTTGACATTTTACGAGTCTTCTGGTTTCACCCCAAAGTCTCGCGCCGCGAGCGTTTCACTCAGTCCAGACTTGTAAGCAGTTTAAGGGATTTGTTACAGGTCCCGTTTCGGGATTCCCAAGTGTTGCGGCGCGAGGTGCCAACGCAGCTGAGTCAATACGGGCGCGCTGACAAGAGAGTCCGCTCGCCGGCTGGCCACCTGCCGTGACCACGCTTGGCCCGTAGGGGTCAGCACACAGCCAACCAACATCCTTTCACGGCGTAAAATGAATGGACTCTTGCCACCAAGGCGTGTTCTGCAAACACTCAAATCCAACATCAGACTTGAATCAAAATAGTGTCGACTTGACTAGTCCTCCCGCATTTTCCATCGCCGCAATGCTTCGTCGCCTCGTCTGTCTACGGCGGTCAGTCATTTGACGTCTTCGGCAGTTTACTGTCAGACAGTCTTTCCTCCTCTTGCTGACATTTTCACACACACCCCACCCCCACCCCCTGAAAACCTGAATTATGGATGAAGTGTGCCGCCGCCGCCGTGTAACTTTGCATCAGAGATGAGGGGGGGGGGGGGGGGGGGGGGGGAAGCCTCCGTGCGCCACCAAAACATAAGACGGCAAAACGGCGTCCGAGCACCCGTGTCCGAGGTTTGACGGGTGGGGAATTTTTATGGCACGTATGAATCCGCAGAAGAGCGAGTGTGGATTGATGCAGAGCTGCAAGAAATGAAGATTAAAAAAAAAAAAAAAAAAACATAAGGATTCCAATTTCCGACCGCGGTGCCGAGCTTCCTCGTCTATCTCTCGTGTGCGAACGAGCAAAGTCATTCAAGGCAGCGTGGGAGAAGATGGAAGTTCTGAACGGCACCTTTATCAATGTATCAGTTGTAATTCGGACACGATGGACTGCTTTGAGGTACAACTGGATGACTTCAATGTGCTTTTTTTTTTCATATTATTGAGCATTAACGCGGGTCCAGATCCGGTTGGAAAATCTTTAGTATCAGGTCTGTGTGTTGGGGGTTATTATGACACCGGAGTATTTCTCAGCTGCTCGATTATTTTAGCAGTACGCAGATCAAATATATCTTGGCAAGCAACCAAAGACGATATTAAAAAGCGTACGAACAAGCAACCCCACGTGTAAAAGTTATTCGGCTTTCATGCTTTATTGTCTAGTCGTCGAACCTTACTGGCAGGCTTGGTGCGTCTGAGCAATGGGACAAAATCTGAAGTTTGTTTTTGAAGGAGCCGCCGCAAATGAACAAAACGATCCTGAAATGGTCGCTTGGAACCAAAGTGGCAGACTTACTGTGCCTCTCCATTCCTCAACCATTCCATTTATTTCAGTCGCACGGGTTGAGAAATATGTTGGAACGCAACCAACGGCAAGACTTAAAGCCGGGCGCCCCCGCGCAAAAGTTATTCCAGTTTCATGTTTTATTGCGAGTCGTCTAAACTTTGCCGACACACTCCGTGGACAAGCCGCAAAAGGAAACGTAAACATTTTCCGCAGTTTGGGCGCTCAATTTGTCTAGCATGGGCCGCATGGTTTAAATTTGATTGCGTTGTGATAAACAGCTCGAGGACGGAAATTCAGACTTCCCTCGTCTTTTCGGGCACGTCTTCTCGAGACATTTTTGTGGTCTTGCTCATGACAGACATGCCTACCAAATTTCATGTTGCGAAGTCAATCACGGAATTCCTCATCTCCAAAAATTTGCTGCGCAACAGTAGCGGCATGATGAATGGGATTCGGGAGGTTGAATTTATCAGAAGAATGTTGCGGGTTTTAACGATTTATGCTGAACTGGATTAAGTACTGCAAACGGGCGGGTAAATCCCCCCCAGCGGGGCCGTGGCTCGCCATCAAAATAAACGCCCCCACCTGTGGAGAGGGTAGGACGCCAAAGTCACTTTCAGTTGGCGGGGATTTGCCAACTTACTCTTTGTTTGGCCCCCTGAGAAAGGTGCGCCAGCCCGGTACGTAACATTCTGAACAGATGCTTCCTGCTCCACGCAGCATCGATACCGCAAAGAGTCCAGGGGCCGGTTGAGGGGCTGTTTTTTGTTCAAAATGTTCCCCAAAAACAGCCCAGTCTGGGCAGACAATAAATCACCGACATGGCTGGGCAGAACAGGAAATTAACTTTTGTGTAGGGAGTCAATTTGGCAGTTTTCACACGTTTCTCAGCCACGCAGAGGCGAGTCAAACTAACGAGCCGATAAGATGGTTCTTTTGTTGTTCTTGAGCTGCTTTTGATGTGAATCTTGAGGGTTCAAGTTGAACCTACATTGAGCCATTCATGGATTCACAGGTACGTCCTGTGACCTTTGTCCACACCCCAAGTATGGTGCCAGGTTCAAAGTCACTTGGCCAAGCCTAAATTTTGTCTCCAAAGTCAAGAGGACAAATTATGATTCAGTGGAACGGAAAGTTCTCGCCGAGCCTAGACTGACTCATGAATTGAATCATCTTTGTCCCCGAATGCATCGGCGGGTTCAAAGTCGCTCGGACAGGCTCAAGTTTTGTGCGGTGTCTTCATAAGGAGGACAAATTAACGCTTTCGGGGACAGCGGTTACTACAGTGGACAGCTTATCATGTCGTCAGGTTACAGGGCGCGTGAAAGATTTAGGATGAACAGAAGTTTCTAATCCCACCTAGAACGATCCATACATTGATGAAGAGGCATCTCCTTCGACTGTTGACAAGTACACCGGCAAGTTCAAGGTCTTTTGGACAAGCTCAAATGTGTCCACAAAAATAAAAGTCAGATTCGGGGACAGTTACGGGTTCTAGTCCAATCCAGATTGATCGATGCATTGATTAAGAGATGTGTCCCGAACACCTTTGTCACGCCACAAGTGCATCGTGTATTAATAAGTAGTGGGAGGGGGGGGCTTCGAGTTCAGCCTCAGATGAATCCATCCAAACATAATTGAGCTGTCCCATCTCGTATTCATTAACAGCCTCGCAAACAATCCGCTAAAGACTCTGTGGATGAGCAGCGTTGAATCAATAACAAGGAGATAAAAGGACTACGTGAAATGGAGGGGGGGAGGGAGGAGGTGGGTGCGTCATCATCAAGTGTCAAGGTCAGAGTGGGGACCGTTTTTGAGTGGGTTAAGGTCATGTCATAGGGGGCGGGCGGTGTGATTTATGAGCACAAGTA